CATTATAGATTTTTATTAGTTCCTTTTCTGTTCCTCTTATATAATGTGTATGTCAACTAATAATGAGTTTTATTTGGCCCCAGAGGGACACAGGATCACCATGTAAGTGGGATGGCAACAAATATCAGACATGGCAGCTAAATCGGCAGCTCACATCCTTAGCCTGAAACATGAAGCATAGAGTGGGAACTGAAAATGATGTGTGGATATAATTTATCAAAGCCTAACTACAGTGACATATTTCTTCAGCAGTACAGCATTTCCTAAACCTTCACAAATTATACTGCCAACAGAAAAGGATTTCTCTGATTTCAAGCACACATGCTTGTTTTCTGTCATATGAACAAATTCACAGTGAAGAAAATGTCTGTAAACCTTTATATGTCTCAATACCTGTGTTATAGAAATGCATAGTTACAAATGAAAAAGTTTCATCAGTGAAAAATTGTTTTTTTAAAGAGTTGTTTTAATTTTAATTATGTGATATCAGTACATGTTTTTGGGGTATGTGAATTTGCATGCCAGTTTCTGAAAATGTTAGGCTCTTGAATCTTCTTGTAGCAAGAACTAAAGGAAGTTGTCAAAATCAAATCTTATTCCTGGGAATGAACTTTCTTTAACTGCCCAAGCAAGTCTCGAGCCATGAAAATATTTTAAAACCTAGTTATATCATGTTAAAATCAGAAAAATAGAGACAAACTCGTACACAAGAAAAATTTTATTCATGAAAACAACTTGGTACATATTTTAGACATCACAATTGTCTTCAGCTTAAAGAAAAAGATCTTACTTCATTTTCTTTTGATCATAGTCTTGAAGGAAGTAAATTAGTTACTATGTTTAATCCAGATTGATGGGGGAGATCAATGCATTTTCATTTCTATTTTGAAACATTTGAGGTAGATACCAAAGTATGCTATATGTGTGGCAAATTCATTTTAGTTAAATTTAGTTCTGTAGTCTTCATATTCCTTCTGTGGCTTTTGTTCATCTTCCATTTTTACTTAGTGATATGTATTTTACTGTTGTAATACATAAAATGGGAATTTAATCATCTTACTAGTCTATTGTTTATTTAAATACCAGTCAGTGTATGATCATACTTTCTGAGTAAGGGTGTCTGTGAAAGGGTGGTGTGTTGTGGTGTTTGGTTTTGATTTTATGTTTTCACAAGTTCCCTTGAGATTTTGTTGTTGATATTAAGCCTGGCATTGATTTCAGTAATGTTTCAAGAATACATTTGAACTCGTGGTCTTCATTTTTTTACCTCCAGAGTAGTCCAAGAGTAGATAATCTACTCCCAACGTATGCTGTTTTGTAAGACAACAATGTTAATTTTAAGATGCTTAATACATAAGAATATAAGAGAAAATGAGGATTCAGGATGGCGGAGACAGGCAGACGCAGGTGGGCCTGTGGTGGCGGCCCGTGGAGGTGGACGGCCCCGGCGGCGGCCGAGGGGGACATTCAGGCCTGGCAGCAGCTGGCAGGGATGTTCAGGCCCAGCAGCGGCCCGCAGAGGTGGACGGGCCCTGCGGCGGAGGTGGGCGGACGGAGGTGGACGGGCCCGGCGGTGGCGGCCAACGGAGATGTTCAGGCCCGGCGGCAGACCACGGAGGTGGACGGGCCACGCGGCGGAGACGGGCGGACGCGGGTCGGCGACCTGCGGAGGTGGACGGGCCCAGTGGCGGCGGCCGATAGGGACATACAGGCCCAGCGGCAACCGGCAGAAACATACAGGCCTGGTGGCGTCCCGCGGAGGTGGATGGGCCCAGCGGCAGTGACAAGCGGAGGTGGGTAGGCCCGCGGTGGCGGCCGGCAGGGACATGCAGGCCCCTTGGCGGCCCGCAGAGGCAGACAGACCCAGCGGCGGTTGACAGGGACATACAGGCCTGGCGGTTGAGACGGGTGGACGCGGGTGGGCCTGTGGCCGCGGGCCGCAGGAGTGGACAGGCCCGGGGATGGAGAGGGGCGGGCGCAGCTTGGAGCGGGGACGCCCCTGGCCCCAGCGCCTGGGGAGGAGGCTGTCTCCATGGGTTGGAGCCAAGGTGGGTCTGGGAGCTCTGTCTGGGGACGGCCCGGGCCGGCTGCTGATCCTGTGGGGCCCAATGGCTTGGAGGTGGGACTGCCCTGCTCAGCTGGGGCCCATCTGGGAGGGGATTCAGATGCCTGCAGTTGGAGGTCTGGGGGGGCGGGATCAGCTGGGGAGTTGACGGATGGACGGAGCGTGACCTGGGAGCATGGAGGAAGGTGCTACCCAGCCACTAAACCAGATCACCAGAATCATAAGTATATAATTCACCGACTGAAATCAGCTGTCCCTGAAGAAACA